CATCGCAGTCTACAACGGCACGCTGCGCATCCGGTTCGTTTTCATAATTTGACCCATCCTTAAGAGCCAAAGTTTGGCGGACTTCTAGTAACTAAATGTGATGTTTGTTTGTTATTTTTTTTTTAACTGTATCTTCTTTTGTGTTGATTGAGATGTAGAGGATGCTAATGTTCATTGAGTTGTTAAAAAATTTAGTAGTGGCAATTGGAATGAGAATATTCGAATTTTTGTTTGGATGATAATTGTAATTATAGTTTTGGTATTAAACAAATAGTGACATTGAAACTCTAGTTTTTTATTGTTAGTAATGGATTGGTTATACACTAATTGTCTTAATATTTAATCTGGAATACTTAGTACTGACCTCAAATAATAAATTAGTATTATTATTATTATTTTTATGTTTTTTACTATGTTATTTAATCTAATTACTCGTATTATTTTAGGCTTATTATATGTATTTTTTTAAAAAAATACCTACTACATAATTGTGTGAAATTTTTGTAAACTTTTTTCAGAAAATCACACGACAATTGGTTGTCGAAATTTATCAAACTACAACAGCTTTTTATATAATCGATGAAATTTTTTCATTTTTTGCGAAAAATCACACTGCCAATTGGGTGTCCGTATTTATCTAACTTCAATACTTTCAAATATTTCAAAAAATCACACCGTCCATTAGGTGCCCATATTTATCTAACTAAAACACATTTTTACAATTTGGAAAGAATGTAAATTTATATGGACTATTTAAATTATTTTGTAGGATAATGAATTTTGGAAAACCCCGACTATATAAAATTTTCTATCAAAAATTCCAACTATATAAAATTTTCTATCATAAAATTCACCTTGATGTGAATCAAGTGGAAGACACGGTAAGTTGGTAAAGAGTAAAATCAAGTGGAAGGAGTTTATTATATTGATATTTTCTTTCATGTAGCAGAGCATGTAACAATGAGGATTTTTATTGCCATGGCTATACAGTAGGACTGATATTTATATCAACTTGATGTGGATAATGCCTTTTTGCATGGTCTCTTGGCAGAAGAGGTTAACATGTGGCCCCCACAGAGATATAGAAAAGCACAGCATGGACATGTATGCAAACTTGTGAGAAACTTATATGATCTCAAACTAGCATCAAGAAAGTGAAATAATGAACTTTGTCAAATACTGTTAGTCTTTGGTTCAACACAGTCAAGCCATGATCACTGTTTGTTCACTATGAAAATGGAACCAGATTATCAAGCAGTATTGATTATGTGGTACAACAGTTGAAGCAATTCTTTGATGAGGCGTACATTAAGGACCTCAGATTGACTAAGTATTTTCTTGGTGTTGAACTGAAAAGGACTGGAGATGGGATGTTTCTTTGTCAAATAAAATATATATTGGATTTACTTGGGGATATTGGGATGCTTACTTGCAAAAGTGCAACAACACCTTTGCCTCGTGGCTTGAAAATGCAGAATGGAGAGGAAGAACTACTTGATGAGCCTGATAAATACATGAGATAGGAAGAGTTTTGTATCTAAACATGACAGAGGCAAGATGTTAGATATACAACTAAACAACTCAGCCAATTTGTAAATGCACCTAATAATAGTACACACTGGGATGCAAACAAGTTCTCAAATATCTAAAGGGCACATCATCTTTAGGGCTTCAGTTTCTTAAAGGATAATTATTTATAATTGGTGGTTTACAGTGATGCTGATTGGGCCTCTTATAGAGACACAAAGAAAATAAGTGACTGGTGATTGTATTTTTATCAGGAATTGCTTGATTTATTGGAAGGCAAATAAGCAGCATACTGTGTCAAGATCATAAGCAGAGGTTGAATACAGAGCCATGGGCACTACATTATCAGAACTACTTTGGATTTCATACATAGCAAGGGATCTTTATCTTACTTTACAGTATCCAATTTCTCTATGGTATGATAATAGGGTTTATCTTCATATGCCACGAGCCTCACACCGAGTGACGTGCGTGCGAGCCTGTCGATACTCGCACCTATCGCATGCGCGACGTACCTCGCGCCAACAACGGGTGCTGTTACACAAACGCATCTGGACGGATTTTCGACTCCATTTTGAATCCGTATTTATTAAAACTCGTGTCCGTCCCTAGAGTACATTCCTAGACTTGTAAAATTAAAGTTTTGAGCTTTTTCAAACATCTTTCTTTGATTTTGGATCTTGGAGAGTGACACTCCAAGAAGGTGAACATCATCCTCGACATATGATTTTGGATTGTAATTCGACTTTTGATTAATCATAAATTTACATTTTTATTTTGCATATTAATGCGAATTTTATAATTAATGTGATTGTTATTGTTGAATTCAAGATAACCAGCTAAATTCTAATTCACTTGTCAGAGATAGGGGATAATGGAAAAATTGCACCATTCGTCCACTAATTATATCCGAGTTGCACTTTCGTCCTTTAATTATTTTTTTTTTACTTTTGGTACACTATCATTTTTTTTTGGCAATTTTCGTCCAAATCGAGGTTCCGGTGCTCATTTTTGCCGGAAAAGCTGATGTGGCACCGGAAAAGCTGATGTGGCGCACAATCCGACTGGGCGCCACATCAGCTTTCCGGCAAAAATGAGCACCGGAACCTCGATTTGGACGAAAATTGCCATAAAAAAATGATAGTGTACCAAAAGTAAAAAAATAATAATTAAAAGACGAAAGTGCAACTCGGGTATAATTAGTGGACGAATGGTGCAATTTTTTCGGGGATAATTGTTATTAAGTGTATTTAGACATGTTTTGCTCACAAAATAGTTTAGAAAAATTTTTGGTGTCTTCACATTTTTCAAGAATAATACAGAATATATTAGATAATCTTACATATGCTATATATTATTTTAGGTGTTTTTCATATTTTAAACATACATGTTTTATATGTTCTTTTATACAAGATAGTTGTATAATGTAAATTATATCACATATTAACCCCCATATATTTAATTTCTAATTGTTATTTAGTATTATTTGCACATATTTTCAATTTATAATTATTTAATATTATTTATCCGTCCATTGCACGGACTACGCACTAATTTGCAACATAACGTGCTATTTTTTATGAGTAAAGATAGTGCACAAAAAAGGGTCTTTAGACAAGTAAACTTACTAAAATTGAATTTTTCCTTAATTGCTTGGTATTTGCTTTTGGAATTAGAAACCATTATCCCCGATTTCATGACCTCTTTATCAATACTAGTACGTACCCCGTGCGATGCATGGGACAAAGATATTAAATTAGTTATTTTCACACCCTTGTCCGTTTAAGTCTAAAAAATAATAGGGTTATTATCTATTTTCTACCTCTTTTACTCAACGTTAAGTCTAAAAAACAATAGGGTTATTATAATTTTTTTCCACATCTTTTAACCAGCGTTGTTTTTTTTTAGTAAGAACATTAAATATGAGCATGTTAAGGCCGGCTTGTAATTAATATATTCTTTCACTAAAATATTTATACTAATAAAAATTTAATTTTAGCATATAAATTTATCCCTTGATATAAGAGAAAGTAACAGTTTTACTTATTGTTGTTCAGTATATAATATTTAATTATAATTTTATTATATAATAAAAATGAATATTGTTAAATAGTGTAGTAGAATTGTTATAAAATTATATGAATTATTTTTTTTACAATATGGATTTAATATCTTTAAAGGATTTGACAATATAACTATAATATATTCTTAATGATATAATAATATGAGATACGGATTTACATAATACTATGAATTTATTCCTTAATGTTAAGATATTGAATTAGGTAATATATGTTTCGCTAATTTGTCTGTCTCTTTTTATATTTAAAATAATCATGTGATTGAGTAGAGATAACAATTATCTATAAATTCCTTTATTTAAGGAATAATTTTTAAGTTGGTCCAAGTGTTGAATGCAGTCCGATTTTCTTGTAACTAAAATGAGAAGAGATTTTGAATTTTAAATTTTCACTTCAAAACCACACATAAATGTGGATGCAGATTTTATTAAAAATAAAATGAGAAGAGATTTTTAATTTCATATTCACTTTAATATCTGTCAAAATTTTCAAAAATGAATTCAACAAAACCCATAATTTTAGGGGCATTTAATGCTAGCCTATTTTATGATTTAAAATATCTAAAATTTTCTAAATATGGTGTGCAATTAATTATTTTAAAAGATGAACCGCTTTTGTTACCAAAAAATGTTGGCACAATTTTGAATGTACATCCCGTCCAAATATCAGTTTCATTTTAAAATAAAAAATGCACGTGGTTTTAACCAATTTACACATATTTTTTGAAAGAAAAATTATTCATTAAGATTAGAAGAATTGATTAGAAATTATACAACTATTTGTTTCGTAAATTTGTATCCAATTTGCACGGTTCTTATATTGATTTGTACTTAAAATTGTTTTCATAAATAATTGACACATTTTTTGCATAAGAATCCCTAATTTTTTTACAAAAAAAAATATGATTTAAATTTTGGTAAAAAAATAAAATATGATATGAAAAAACGGGATTCAAATTTTGCCATAAGAATCTCCAAATTTGTTACCGAAAAAATAGGATTCAGATTTTGTTTATAAAGATTTACATGTGTTTTTTCGAGATTTTCATTAATAGTAAGTCAAACATTATATTTATTTAGTCAAACTTTCTATTAATGTATATTTATTTTGTTTATAAAGATCTAGTACTCTTCAATATCATACACACCCGTGTGTGAAATATGTGGTTAAAAATGCATGGAGGCACTACCACATGGGTAGGGTAGGATGAAATAAAAGGCGGGGTAACACATTGATAGCAATCTATACTATTTTCTTACTCTCCAATTATTCATCTCACTAAATCTGATTTTAAAAGCCAATACCAATCATGTCTGAAACAAGAGACCACGTCTTCTTCCTCTCCAATATTAATTTCATTAAATCAGATTTTAGAAGGCAAAAGCATTAATCATGTCCGAAACCAGAGACCCCGTCTTGGTCCACTTTGAGTCCATGCTCCGTAGACAGCCGACTACCACCTCAAGTAGCCCCTCCATCTTCCGAGTGGACCGCGACAATCGCCAGGGCAGCGAAAACCTCTACGAGCCGAAACTTGTCTCCATCGGCCCATATTACCACCAAACAGCCCATCTCCAGAAAATGGAGGCCCGAAAGCTCGCGTACCTCAAGTGCCTGGTCAAACGCTGCGGTGAGTCCACCTTCGAAGAATGCGTAGCGGCCGTGTGGTCCTTGGAGGAAAAAGCCCGAAAGTCCTACTCCGAGCCCATCGAGCTGCCCAGCCCAGAGCAGATGGTGAAGATTCTTGTGTTTGACGGGATTTTCGTGGTCGAGCTGCTCCGAAAGATCGAGATGGTCGAGCTGAGGGAGATGAACGACCCAATTTTTCAATACCAGCATTTCGGCGACATGGTCGGGCGCGACCTGATGCTCGTGGAGAATCAGGTCCCGTTTTTCGTGCTCCACAAGCTTTTCACCATGACGAGGAGCAAGGACGACCCATATGGCGACATTCTTTTCCATATCCGTGATTTTGCCTACTGCATTTCGCCGTGGGACACGGACATTAATTCGGTAGAAAACCTGGAGGAATATAACAAAAATCACCTCCTTGGCCTCGTCTACCAAATCTTGTTCAAGGAAATCATAAAAGCCGACAGGCCCGTCGACGAAGAAATTGTGGAAAGATATTTGCGTAGGGACTCCGAGCTGCAGCAGGAAACAAGAGACCACGTCTCGGACGACATCTACTCATTAATCCTCCAGCTGCCTTCCTCCCCGAGCAGCAGCCCCACCTTCGATGACGACAGCGAAAACCTCTACAACCCGAAATTCGTTTCGATTGGCCCTTTTCACCACCAAACACCCCATCTCCAGAAAATGCAGCCGCACAAGCTCGCGTACCTAAAGGGCCTGCTCGCACGCCGCGATGAGTCCACCGTCAACAGATATGTAGTGGCCGTGAGGTCCCTGGAGGAAAAAGCCCGAAACTCCTACTCCAAGCCCATTGAGCTCGACCAGGACGAGCACGTGAAGATTCTTGTGGTCGACGGGCTTTTCGTGGTCGAGCTGCTCCGAAAGAACAGGCTGCATGAGCTGAGGGAGATGAATGACCCCATTTTTGGAAAGGGGCAATATGTCCTTGACATGGTCCTGCGTGACCTGATGCTCGTCGAGAATCAGGTCCCATTTTTTGTGCTCCTCCGGCTTTTCGCCATGACGAGGGGCTGGGACCCATGGGACGACATTTTTCACCTCCTCCGTTGTTTTGCTCACAACATCTCACTGTCGGCCTACGATTTTTTGTCCACAATAAAACCAGAGGAAAATAACACCGACAATCACCTCCTTGGCGTCGTCTGCAAAATCTTGTTCGGGAATTTGATTGATGAAGAACTTGTGGAAAAAAGGGCCGAGATCAAAAGGAGCAACTGCCTCAACGTCACATTCGTCTACAAAAATTTGTTTTCGTTGTTCGGTAAACTGAAAGCCCAGAGGCCCGTCGGCTTAAAATTTCTGGCCGTCTCCAAGCTGCAGGAAACAGGGGTCGAGTTCAAAAGGACTGACGGCAGTATCGACATCACATTCGACGGGGGCGTCCTTAGAATTCCGAGACTCGGCGTGGACGAACACACGGAGTCGGTTTTGAGGAATTTGATCACGTACGAGCAGTTTTTAACCGACTACCAACCAAGCTACGTGACAGACCACATCACCTTCTTAAAGTTCCTCGTCAAGCGGCCGACGGATGTGCAGATATTGAGGAGGCATGGGATTTTGGAAAACTTTTTGGGCCAAGACCAGATGGTATGCAATGTTTTTAGGAGTCTCGGGAAAAATGAAGATGACGTGGACTCGTGGTGCGATTTTCGCTACACGGATGTTCAAGAGGCGGTGAACAGATATTGCAACAGGCGTGTGATTAGGTTGAAGGCGGTTTTGAGGCGGTGGATGGCGGAATTGTGGCAGAAATATTTCAATAGCCCGTGGTCGTTTATCAAGTTTTGTGCAGCATATTTTGTTGGACGGTCAGATCTTGCCTAAGATCATTAATGCACATGAGCACAAAAAACCAAGAACAGAGAATGAACATGATGATATTGATTGATTGATCCAAAAACAATAAACATGTACAGGCCTTTTTATAGAAAGGCTAAGGCGCCCTAGGACCTGAAAACCCTACACAAATACTAATGAGATAATGACACGTGTGCATGCATGACATCATGCAAAAGGAATCAAAAAAGGGAACAGCTGTATTATGAGCTGTGAGATAAAGCCAAAAAACTTAAGTGTGGCCGGGTACATTGTTGGAGAATGTGGCAGCAGAGGTGGTTGCTTTATCACTCCCCCTCAATTCTGGTGCAGGATGAGGAAGCACTTGGAGCTGCTTTTGAAGCCTGTTGAAGAATTGTTGTGACAACGGTTTAGTGAGAATATCAGCCACTTGGTCAAGAGAAGGTACATGATGAACTTTGAGAAGTTTGTTGGCAATATGCTCTCTGATGAAGTGGATATCTATTTCAATATGTTTGGTGCGAGCATGAAGTACAGGATTGGTGGCAAGCGCAATTGTGGAGAGATTGTCAACCCAGGCTGTAGGAGTGTGAAGTAAAGTCACATGAAGCTCTTTTAAAAGAGATTGAAGCCAGGTTATTTCAGCTGTGACATGTGCAAGGCTCCGGTACTCAGCCTCAGTGCTTGAACGAGAGATGGAATTCTGCTTTTTCGAGCACCAAGAAACTGGATTTCGACCAAGGTAAACACACACACCAGTGATGGATTTTCTATCATCTAAATCACCACCCCAGTCTGAGTCTGAGAAGCCATTAATCACTGGAGAACATTGAGAAGTGTAGTGTAGTCCATGAGTGGCAGTGCCTGCTAAGAACCGAAGAATTCTTTTGGCAGCTTTCAAATGAGTATCAGTGGGTTGTTGCATATACTGGCACACCTTATTGACACTGTATGCTATATCAGGCCGGGTTATAGTGACATACTGCAGTGAGCCAACCAAGCTCCTATAGGCAGTTATATTTTCAATAGGAGAGCCAACAGTTTTGGATAAAATAGGAGAGGTAACCATAGGTGTAGAAACTGGTTTGGCACCAAGCATATTAGCTTTAGCTAGGAGATCATGTATATACTTAGTTTGAGAAAGATGAATACCAGTAGGAGTCTTGGTGACCTCAATGCCAAGAAAGTGATGAATCTCACCCAAGTCTTTAAGAGAGAATGCTGCAGCAAGTTGAGATATGGTGGCTTGAACTTCTTTTTCACAATTCCCGGTGACAAGTATATCATCAATATACACAAGAAGCCAAATCATAAGGTGACCAGTCTTCTTGACATAAAGGGAATTATCAGATTTGGAATGTGTGAACTGAAGTCTAAGAAGGACACCCTTGAGCTTATTGAACCAGGCTCGAGGGGCCTGCTTCAAACCATATAGGGATTTGTTCAACTTGCAAACATAAGAGGGATGATCTGTAGATTCAAAACCTGGGGGTTGGAGCATGTATAGATCTTCTTCAACATCGCCATGCAAAAAGGCATTGTTGATGTCCAGTTGTCTGACAGGCCACTTGTGCATTAAGGCCAAGGAGAGAACCACTCTGATAGTGGTAGGCTTCACCACAGGACTAAAAGTCTCATTGAAGTCAATTCCTGCTGTTTGGCTATAACCTTTAGCCACTAGTCTGGCCTTGTGCCGAGCTACAGAACCATCAGCATGATGTTTAAGTTTGAAAATCCATCTACAGCCAATGATATGTTGATGAGGAGGTGAAGGAACTAAGGTCCAAGTAGTATTTCTCATGAGAGCAGCATATTCTTCTTGCATTGCTTGAGACCACTTTGGATGAGACAAAGCTTGTGTGTGGTCAGCAGGAGCTTGAGTATCCAGATGAGTGGTTAAGAATGTTCTGGGTTTAAGCTTGCCCGTTCTTGACCTAGTCACCATATGATGTTGATTGGTTGAGGTGCCTGCATGGTTAGTTAAAGAAGCAGGTATATGAACATTCTCAATTGGCAACTCAACTACAAGAGGGACAGTGGAGTGACTAGAAGTAGTAGAATGTGGTGATATAGAATGAGGAGAAGAAGAAGAAGTGGAATGATGATGAGGAGAGAGAGCTGCAGTACTTTGTGAAGGTGAACTGGGAGGAGAGTGACTAGTACTTTGGTTAGGAGCTGTATGAGTGGGAGTTGAGGGAGTGGATGGGTTATGAAGGATAGGAGGAGAAGTTATATTGGAAAACTGAGGAGGTTGTGAAGGTGGAGGAGCAGTGTCCTGGAGAAAAGGGAACTTATGCTCATCAAATATGACATCTTTGGATACAATAATCTTGCCTGTGGGGAGAAGGACTTTGTAGCCTTTATGCTTAGAACTGTACCCAAGAAAAGTGCCTGGTAAAGATCTTGGTTCTAGTTTATGCTTGTTGTAAGGTCTCATGTTAGGGTAGCAAAGACACCCAAAAATCCTCAGTTTCTTATAGTTGGGTTTATGACCATAGAGTTTTTCTAGAGGAGAGATGTAGTGAAGGGTTTTGACAGGAAGTCTGTTAAGAATATACACAGCTGTGTGGAAGGCATCATCCCAGTATTTGAGAGGAACTTTGGAATGAGAGATGAGAGACAATCCCATTTCCACTATAGTTCTATGTCTTCTTTCAGCAAGACCATTTTGGGAAGGGGTGTAAGGGCATGAAATTCTGTGATGAATGCCACAATCAGTAAAGGTTTTAGTTAAGGCAGTGAACTCTCCCCCTCCATCACTTTGGACTGCTTTAATTTTAAGGTTAAGTTGGTTTTCAGCTAATTGTTTAAAGTGAAGAAAAGCAGCTAGAACATCAGATTTCTTGTGAAGAAAGTAAATCCATGTAAATCTGGAAAAATGATCAATGAAACACACATAATAATGAGATTGAGAGTGAGATGTAATGGGTGAGGGACCCCAAACATCAGTGTGAATGAGCTGTAAGGGTGCTGTGAATTCTGTAGTGGAGTTGGAAACAGGTAAACAATGAGCTTTGGCTTGCAAACAAGAGCCACAAAGAAATTTTTCATTGAGAAGAAAAGGTACATTACAGTTTCTCATAACTTTAGCAATCACATCAAGGGCTGCATGTCCTAGTCTATAATGCCAAAGATTAAGGTTGGCCTTTTTATTACAAGTGGCAAGATAAGTGCTTGGACTGAAAGTAACCGAATGGATTGAAGACACTGGCTTGGTGGAGTTGAGTAACTTGGCATCAAACTTGTAAAGACCATCCTCAAGAGAGCCTTTGAGAAGAACATTGTGAGTTGCTTGATCCTTGATAAGACAAAACAAAGGATGAAACTCAAAGAAAACAGAATTATCTTGAGCAAATTGAGAAACACTCACGAGATTCTTGGTGATATCAGGTACATGTAAAAGATTTTTTAAGAGAAAAGGTTTTGAGTGCAAATTAGATGTAAGAAGAGAATTGCCAATGTGAGAAATGCACAAACCCTCTCCATTACCTATGTGCAGCTTGCTGTTTCCTTGAAAGTCTGAGGCTAGGTTGAGGTTGGAAAGCTCATTGGTAACATGGTTTGTAGCTCCTGAGTCAGCAAACCAACTTGATTCTGACACAGCATCACCGGTTTGGTTCAGATAGTGAGCAGCAGGATTGGTGAGATTGGGTGTTGATTGAGCCACCTGAGCTTGAAGGTTGGTTGGACCAGGATATGTGGAGTCATACCTATGGTAGCACCTTTCTGCAGTGTGGTTAGATAACCCACATAGCTGACAAGCAGGCCTGGAGTTGCCTCTGAAATTTCTCCCCCCTCTTCCTTTGGCATTTCTGCCTCTTCCTCTAGAGGAGAAGTTGTTGTTTCTCTGAAACTGGTTCTGATTTCCAGTAGAGCTTGCTGAGGTTTTGTTGTTGTTGTTAGCAGAACTCTGAGTTGCAAAATGGGCTGCAGGGGTAGAACTGTTTAATAGTATTTTGTGTGGGTAGATGATAACCGAGTTACCCGACCTCGAGTCGTTCTCTAAGGAAGGCTATTCAGAGCGTCGTTTGCTATTTAAATTGTCCAAAACACACAAAGATAAAATAATTCCTAAACATTCTAATCAATATGTTGATGGGTTCGAACTAGATTAACCAAATTAACTAAAGAAACATGCGAATAATAGACTAAGCAAGCAATTAGAATTAAAAGTCCTAGCTCCCAAAACCGGGTCGTTTAACATTGAGCATATAAAACAAAATAAGGGGAATGAACTCTATCTATGCACTTATGAGCTAAAGTCGAACATCTACTACGAAATAATCAAGCTCAATACCAAAGTCACGACCCTTCTTGTAAGTATTCGAACTTCAACAATCTCAAAGCACGATAAACAAGTTCACAATGGATAAGCAAGGAAAAAAATAAACTAAAACGAACAAAATAACCATAAATCGAGCAAGCCCCTAGTTCACTTCTACGAGCAAGATAGTGTAATAGGTGCAAAATCGAGATAGTAAGCCTTAATACTAAGTACTTACGTCCCTAATGCGTGCTTGAGCGAAAATGACAAAGACAAAACACAAATTGCATAATAAGACGACTCACCGGAAAATGTCGTCGGAGAAATCTAAGTACAAACATCCAAGTCTTAAGCTATAGTCCAAGAGAATGCAAAATGAGAAAAATGAAACTTCCAAGGTTTTAAGCTCAAATCCAAGAAGGAAAACAAGAAAGATGAAGCTTGGTGTGCTACAATACAAAACATCACACCCTATTTATACATAACACAAATCACACCCTAATTTCACACACACAACAAAAACTCGCAGGATAGCAGTGAACTCGCAGGATAGGCCACATTTTCGCAGGCTCGAATTTGTTCTCTGTTCATGCACACGCCGAACTCGCAGGATAGGGGGTTTTCGCAGCTTGCGAATCTGGTTCTTGAGGTTCGATTAGCTCTAACTTCTCGCACGCTTATCCGATTGACTTGAAACTTTGACCCACGCTCCTCAAATCTTTTTCTCGTCGTCTTGAGATGCGCAAATAGACACAACCATGCAATTAATAAATATCCTCGGAATGGCTCGGAAATGGTTCGCATGACTCGAAAATGTCTCGGAATGGCTCGTCTTCCCAAACACGAACAATTTGGACCTAGTCAACACCAAAGAGACAAGAAAAATACGCCGAAATACAAAAAAAACAACTCAAGAACGAAAAACGACTAAAAACGAACAAAAAATGGATCGGGACACACAAATGGAACATAAAAATACTCGACTCAAGCAAATAAAAATGCACGAAAAACACACCAAAAACATAACAAACAAGAACCATCCAGATTGATTGAGGTTTGAGTTTGAAGCTCAATCCTTGACTCCAAGCTGAGAAGCATAGAGTGAACCTCATTTAGAGTGTATGGTTCCACTCTGGTGGTAACAGCAACTACCACTGCGTTGTACTCAGATCCAAGACCTCCTAAGATATGGAGTATGTGATTTTGCTCACTCACAGGTTCTCCAGCCGTGCCAAGAGCATCACAGCAAGCTTTTACTTGTGAGAGGAATTCTCTCATGGATTGGTTTCCCTTTTTTAAGGTTTGAAGCTGCAGTTTGAAGTGCATAAGCCTGGCCTTCGATTGTCCTGAGAAGTTTGATTCTAAGGCCTGCCAGATCTCCTTGGAGGTGTTCTTTCCCACCATCATTACCAACAGGTTCTCTNCGAAGGGAGAGGCACAACAAAAGTACATCATCAATGTAATTACAAACACATGATTGATCAAGATGCACTACACATGAATAGCATAACACGTTTACAACGATATCGAACGTAAGGTAAGCATATCTCAAGTCAATCAATCGAGACAACAAGGGACAAAACAATTCCGTGAATTCACATGAGTTCCCACATTAATCAAACATCATCCAATTCAAGGGTACCATCCAAATCATCAAGTTCATTAAGGCATAAAAGTTAACAATGACGCCAATCAACGGACTTATCTCGCCACTTAACCATTTTGAGCTTTTAAACGCACATTGAGCATCATGACGGGGAATTGACAAAACACACAAAACAAAAACAAAACCGGTCCACGACACGACAAGCGCCTAAACATGTACAATCACTAAAAATCCTCCCCCACACTTAAAACAAAGCAATGACCTCATTGCTTAACCAACAAGTATACGAAAGGAACAAATAATTGTACACATTCAAACATGGAACAATAATAAAAAGAAGGAAAAGAAGACCAACTAAAACACATAGCAAGAAGAGAAAAAAAACAAAACACATAGACATATAGAAAGAAAACAAAGAGAAAAAGGAAATAAAGAAAAAGAGAGTGCGTACTCAACACGGTGAATAATCACCGTGCATCCATTGACGTCTCGTCTGGTGGATTGGAAGAACTTGGCCCGACGGCCCCTTCTTGCTCATAGTGTTGGAGACGTGCGTCCAAGGATGCAATATGGTCCCGAATGGTAGTAATCTCGGTGCACACCCCGTCCAACCGGTTGTCCATTGAGCGCATATGCCTCCACATCCCATCTAAGCGAGCCATCATACGGAGATCAAGGCTCGCCAATTGAGTGGCTATCGCGGCCCACGGTTGATTGCCATAATCGGTGGTTGCGGAAGGGCCGGTCGGTGGTGGTGGACATGGAGTTGTCGAGGCAGTGCCGTGGGGCCCCTCCGGATGAGGTGTCTCTTCAGAATTTGGTTGGCCCTCGGGAACATCGGCCGATTTATCGGTGATCGGCTCTTGGTGCTCGGTTGCTTCGGGGTGGTGTTCGGAGTGGAGGAGTACTTCACGGTCAATTTGTTCGGCATTTGTAGCAACTTGGCCCTTGTGGTAGACTTCCATCCGTTCGATATAAGCTTTAACGCATTTCCGGTCGTGATGTGGTTTGAAATTGTAGCGATTAGAAGCAAGTTCCGCGTGGATTAACTCACGTGCCGTTACAGGCCGTGCTTTGACTACCTCCCCTACTAATGGGACATCGAAATAAGCACCGAGAACCGTAATCAAGTGGCCAAATACGGGCTTGAAGCGCTTGACGTTGACAACTTGAGCCATTTTTCTCCAAATGAAACCACATAAATTCACCGGTTTGCTATGCAAGGCACACCAAAGAACAAATATATCATCCGAACTCACCTTTTGGCCACCCTTCTTGCCATAGACGTTGTAGCACAAGAACTTGTGGACGACCGCTAGGGCGGGATCTCTGATATGCCCGGTGACAAAATCCAAGAACTTCAAATATGGAAAGCCCGATATCTCCAACCAAGCGGCCGCCGTATCAAACTCTTTCGGCACGGATGTTGGCCCTTCCAAAGAGAACCCAAAAAGCTCATTCATTAGCTTGAAAGTAATTTCTATCGGCTTGTTATTCAATCGGCATCGTACAATAGTATCCTTCTCTTCAAGTTTGAATGTGGTGTAGAACTCCCAACAAAGTTTCACGTAAGCATCGGCCCGAACAGATACATATTTCGACAAGTTAAGATTCGTCACATGCCGTTTGAACCGAGCAAGCAGTTTAAGATCCGAGAGGACGTCGTAATCAACATACCGGGGACCGAGAACTAGAAAAGGGTCGGTGATGTCATTAACTTTCGCAGCAACAAAGTTCCGAGGCCGGGGGCCTTTGGGGTCCGAGTCATTCATTAATACAAGTGGCATTTCATCCTCCAATGTGGCACTTGATGTCCCGTCGTTAGCCTTGCCCCGTTTGCGTTTAAGGGCAGCTTGCTTCTTTTTCGTAGGCGCATTTGTCTTCTTCGGAGGCATGATTCAAATAAGAACCCGGCGGAAAACCACAAGCCCAGAGTGTACCTAAAGAAATTTCGACACGTCCGGCAAAACGTGTCCCCACCACACAACAACGATATCCAATACACAATTGACAACAAATTATCACAGTCCCAATCTCCAATTCTCCAATTCAACTCTAAGTCAATGAACACAACAATTCCCAACGCCAAATTAACTCCAAGCGAAATGAATAAATCGGGATTTAGCCATTATACCTTAGAATCGCTGAGAGAATTAATCGGCTCGGTCACCGGAATAATGAAAATCTGAGGATTGGGCGGAATCGGGCTGAGGTCGTCGGGGTCGGGACTGAGGGTCGCAGCGGAGGGTGGTCGCCGGAAACAGGGTGGACGGTGGCTGTGCGCGGAGCTCGTTGTCGCTGGGTTGTCGGGGGTGCAGCCGCTGTCGTGGACCGTGCTCGTAGGTGCAGAGATGACGGCGGTCGGAGGTCGGGACTGAGGAGCTTTCGGTCGCGGGGAGCTCGAATCGCCGGAGTGGAGTCGGAGCTCGTCAGCCATCGGACGGAACGGGGTCGCTGGGCTCGGAGGTCGCGCCGCTGCGTCGTTGCGTCGCCGGAGGGAGCTGGTCGCCGGTCGTCGGAGTTAGGGGCGTCGGGAGAGAGAGAGATGAGCGGGGTGTTTGAGATGCGAGAGAGAAGAAAGAGCTGCGATTTGGGCGTGAGGGAAGAGAGAGAAAAAAACTAGGGTTTGACTTGTTGACTTATTTCTTATGTATCCAGCGAATTTGAGCTATCTTGCGAACCTAATTTCGAGCACTCGAAAAACTGGTTCTTAGCCGCTGTCCAAGAGCTTCTTTCTTATGTATCCAGCGAATTTGAGCTATCTTGCGAACCTAATTTCGAGCACTCGAAAAAAATGATTCTTAGCCTCTGTCCAAGAGGTGCAACTAGCGAAAATGCCCCCATCTGGCGAATTCGAATTAGAGCCCTCGAATTTATGGAATTTCAACAGTTAGGCATATTTTGATAATTTTCACTCAAAAATTTCAACTTAATTTATGGACATAATAAAAACTCAATTTCGCT